GTACTTGTGGTGCCCAACCATGGATCAAAAGCCCTGTTCCTTTCATCCTTTCCTCAAATCTTCCTTCCATAATCCATCTCTCCAAACTATCCGATTTATGGCTGATAACCCATATAAAAGGTCGGTTTGATGCCTCTAGACCTAACCCAAGCTCTACCATCTGCAAAGTTGCCAGGCGAGATAGACTTCCTAGACAAACATAGAGTACAGACCCTGGCTCCAATGAGTCGAGCCATTTCAGGCAATGGTTTTCATTGATAGTCGACTTTTTACCTCTTGCAGCCATATCCATATTATTTTTGTTGCACAATGAAACAGGGCCGATACACCAAACTTTCTTACCTTTTGCCTTAGCATATTCTTTGACATAATCTAGCTCCAACTCCTCAAATGTGTTAACCACCACCCCATATGCCATTTCTTCACCCTCTAGCATTTCAACACCGATATGTTTCCCGCTAGATGGGCGTGGCTTGAGTTTGCGTGGAAGCTGTGCTTTAGTTAGTTCAATTCGATCAGGCAGGCCAGGGATCACAAAGTGTTCTGATTCGGAGTTAATATCATCAACCACCTTTGAGACGCGCAAGTTGTGTAAGGACAGGAGAGAGAAGCAACCAAATCCATGGAAAACAAGTTTTAGGATATGAAACTTGTGAGCAATACTATTTGTCCATGGGAGACACAAATCAGAAATCAAGCAACTTGGTGGTGGTTTTAACTCCTTAAACAAATTTTCCACCTGTGGTTGTAGCATGGCAGTTGCGGCGAAAAAATCAACCACAACATCCATTGAAGGAAGCATATCAACATTCTCGCACCCTTCTTGTAATCCTGCTTCTACACTTGGAAATTGGAGTTGTATCACTTGAATCTGGAGCTTAGCTTCTATCGCACGAGCGAACGTTGATTTGAAACGATCAGCGTTCAGTGGCGTCGTGACTATGGTGACAAGAACGCCGCGTTGTGCCAACAATCTGGCAATGTCTACCATGGGAATCATGTGGCCTTGAGCCATGAAAGGAAACAAGACGAAGTGGGGCTGTTGGGATTGGGAAGCCATGGAAATTGGGGAGGAGAGGGAAGCAACTACAGAACTACTATTTTGTGGATGATGTTCTCTAATCCCTCAACTCATTTACACAGAATTGGCATCTAGAAAATGTGAATAATGCCAAAATAGATATGTTCTAAAGTAGCCAACTTGCAAACAGGAGCGGAGCCTTTTGGCCTTTGCCCCCTGCCGACTTTAATAGGGCAGACGATGCTTATTCTTTTTTTTTTTATGATAAAACCTTGTCTCAAGGGCCGCCTGCATAATAATCAATCCTCACTCCAACTTTAGTGGGGGCAATCTTCAATGAGTACTCAAACTTAGAGTGTTAATACTATTTTATAAAATTATAATTTTATCAAAATAATATATACAAGCAATATACAAAAAGTGTCAACAAAAAAAATTCACTATAAAGTTGCACCAAACAAATACTTTTGTATCAAAAAAATAGTGTCCAATAATGAATTGAATTAATACATGGAAAAATCCAAATTCTTGAAAATATTCATAATTGTTTCAACAAGTTTTCACAAATGGGATTTGAAAATTCTTTCTTAACATATGTAGCAAAGTAAGCATTCGTCCATTGCTCTCTAAATTTTTCACTATGTTCCTTGTTGAGAAGTAATTATCGAAAATAATTCATTATTCAATCACAATCAATCAAAATAGTTTAAGTCAAACAATTTTTAACATAAATACAAATTTAGTAAATCAAACTTAGATATACAAACAACCTAATTTCTCACAATCAGATTACTCAAGCCCATCCAACCAAATGGTTTAATCCAAAAAATAGTACATAATATGTAAATTCTAAATATAACAATCCCATTAAATTTAATAACTTATAATTCTCTATATTAATTTAACATACAAAAAACGTACAACAAATATGTATATCTATTTGTGATCCCGGAGGCCAAATCCAGAATTGTAGGAGTAAAGTTCTTCGAATCACTCTAACATCTGGCAAAAAAGAAGTAAAAGTACTTTTTGATGTTGCTAAAAACTAAAGAATCCCACGTGTTTGAAAAAATACATGACTAGTTTTGAGTTTAAAATATTTTCAATAGAGACAATTTTTAACAGATTCTAAAATTTCAAACATTTCATCTTACTCTTCAAATATTTTTTCAATTTTCAATGGGGAAAACTTATGTATAAATAGATTAAATTAGTCGTGGTGGTGGGTTATGTGCCATTTTTAATCCACTGGAAAGTTATGTACAAATAGATTAAATTACAAGGAGGTAAACTGAAGTTTGTCCAAAAAAACAATTGTTCCACTTGAATAATGATATCACACACTTTCAATAATTGAAGGCTCAAAAACTAATAAAAAACAATACCCAAAGCACTTGCTATACTTTTCCAACATGGTGTCCCAGGGTTTGATTGTTGAACAAAAAAAAGAGCGGTCCAATCTGCCTATGACAAGTGCGTGATATTTGGATTATCCCTGACTTTCATCAACTATTAATGTGGCCGAGAAAAAATGAGATAAAACAATTGAACTTTCGTGGGCCAAACAACAAATTGTATAGTATAATAACAAATTTTTATGTAAAGTTTATAATACCAAATAACATGATAAATGTTATCCAAAAATATTGCCTATATATTTAGATTTAAGAAACTTAAAAAACTGTTGCGAATCTAAATCAGAAAGCCTATTATTTAAGTAAATTAATGCACTCACATGGACACTGAACAACAACAATGATCGGAACTAGAAAAGTAGAATAAATCTGAGTCCTGTATCCATAGTCTTCTTAAGACAAATTTGCTTCATTTTGGTGTTGAAGGTTGATGAGCAATTGTCTCCCAAAATAGAACAAATTTACGTTCTTAGAGAAATAACACTTTAATCTCCAAAATTCCAACGAACACAATTTTGTGTCTTATACTTCGACGAATAACAACAATGATGCAGCAATATATGTATGCAGAGGGAGAGAAGTATGAAAGTCACAAGAATTGTACATGAATTTCAGTGTTTCGATCTTTCAATATTGTCAAATGACAGTAGGGGTCATCCTTTTATAGACTTTAGGTGTTTGTTCAATTAAACTGAACAGGCAAGGGATGTTACTGTTTATTACACTTGTTCGTGAACGATGATAAGTATGTGTAACACGTATTTTAAAAATTAATTTAAAAGACCGTTGGGTCGAAATCGAAGACAGCAAATTGCAAAGCGAGACAAGGCGAATCGAGACAAAGTGACATGACCAACAGGAGGAGGCACCCCAAGCCGAGGCGCAAAAAGCCTTTGGGGTCCACTTGCCAAGGCGCCAAGCAAGGCGTCAAAACTTTTGAGCGCTGCCTTTGCCCTCCGGTGCTCCTTCGTCTACTATTCCCATCTAATCTATTTTTTTGTCAACTTCAAATTTAGCCTATTATACCAATAAAATTGATAATTTTTGAGACATAATTTCTCATTCAAATATTAATAGTTTGAAACAAATAATTAAATATTATGGTTCAACTAATTTTGATTTGTGAGTCCTATTTTAATTTATTTTCCACAACCAATTTTTCAACAATACATTTACTTGGGGTGCAACTTGGACGGATTGATTGAGTCAGAGAATCAACCAGGTTGAACTCAAGTAACAAACCTTTTAACTCTAACCTAACTCAAGTATTGTTCAAGTTAATTTCAGGCTCAATTCAAGTTGATTCGGATAAACTAATTTGGATTAGTCAACTCAATTTACACTCCTACATTTATCACCATTAAATAAGTAAGTCTTGTTAATATTCCCTCCATTTTTAAATATCTGTCGTTTTACACAATTTTTTTTATCCTATAATATCTGTCGTTTAATGAAATCAAAGTATAATTAATATTTTTTCTTCTAAATTTACTCTTATCTTTGTTTTTTAATAAGTGGTTAATAATTGCACACAATAATTAGTTTTTTTAACTTTTCAATGCATTAGATTAGGTGTAGGCTAAGTGCCTTTCATATTCTTTCCTTCTCAATGCGTATTGAATAAGAGTATATTTAGTCTTGTGTAATTATTTTTTACTCATATTAGAGCTATTTAATAACTTTTTTATTCCCTGTGAAAAAAACTTAAATGTCACATATTTAGGAATGAGAGAAGTATTTGATAATAATCAACATACCATTTTAATCAAAAATTATTAGGCCCCTCGTTTGTTGGGGAAAACTTTCTCACATTATATAGATTAAAAGTTTTGATCTAAATTTGAAGGAAAAAATCAGTGAATCTAGTCCCCTCAACTACGAGAAAAATATTGGGATTATTGGTTACACCACGTCATTATGTTGATATGGTGTAATTGGCCAATTAGAAGATAATAGTGGGCAAATGGTTCTCACATTAGTAATTACTACATGATATAGATAGGTAATTATTTAATTATGTAGAATCCAATTGTCCTCATATTATTGAACAGTTGCGGCTACTACTTACTCCTGGACTACCGTTCTATCAAAAAAATAGGAACAAAAGAAAGAATAAACTTTCAATCAATACATTAAAACAAAATTCAATAAATTTACGAGTCATAACCTGTTTAAAAAATCGATTCCACTATATTAAATAATAATTTTTTTCTTTCTTTTATTTATTTAATTACATTATTTTAAATTTATTTGTATCCATTAGTTTTTTAAAAATATCCACCAAATTTTCTCAAAATACATAATTTAACAAAATTTTCTCAACATGTACATATTATGGTGTGTGGATAATATTTGAAATAAAAATTATTTTAAACTTCAAATTAATTAAATATTAAATTATTAAATATGTTTTAAAAATAAATAATGTGATATTTTTAAAATATATATATATATATAATACATAAAAATTTAAAATATAGATTTAAGCACAATTAAATATAATAAGTATTAATTGTTGCACCAGAGTCAAATTTGTTGTCTATATAAATTTACACTTAGCGAGTCCCACAAATAATCACCCTGAAAGTAAGAACCGAATGAAACCCAACTACCACAGTATCATGAACAACCAACACTTCCTACTTATCTCTCTCCCTGCGCAAGGCCACATCAACCCCACCCTCCAGCTCGCCAAGAATCTCACACGTGCCGGTGCACGCGCAACCTTTGCCACCACCGTCGCTGGCCTAAGTAGCCTGACCGCCCGTCCAACTCTAAACGGCTTATTTTTCGCCTCCTTCTCCGATGGGACCGAGGAGACCGTCAAAGACGACGCCGCCGACTTATCCGCCTACCTAACCAAGGTAAAGCACGTGGGGTCCCAAAGCCTCGCAAATCTAATCCACAACCTCTCTAGCGATGGCAAACCGGTGACTTTCTTACTCTACCCATACCTCCTCCCCTGGGCAGCCGCGGTGGCGCGTGAATGTCAAGTATCATCAGCTTTACTTGCTATTCAGTCTGCTACTTGTTTTGCTATCTACCACCGTTTCTTCAACGGCCACGATGGTCTCTTCGATGGCGAAAAAGATACCAACCCTTCGATTTCCATTAAATTACCAGGGTTGTCATTGTTGACTTCAAATGACCTACCCTCTTTTCTCTTACCAACTGACAAATACTATTCCTCTTTGATCCCTACTTTTCGAGAACACATACAAACCTTAGAAAAAGATCCTCATCCATGTGTCCTCGTAAACTCATTTGATGCCTTAGAAGCTGCTTCGATCACGGCCGTTGATAACATGGATGTTATCTCAATCGGACCGTTGGTTCCATCAGCTTTTTCTGATGGAAATGACTGTTCAGACAGATCTTTTGGGTGTGATTTGTTTCGGAGCTCTGGAGATTATGTTCAGTGGTTGGATTCGAAACCAGAGGGTTCGGTGATTTATGTGTCGTTTGGAAGCTTTGTGGCGTTGGAGAAAAGGCAGAGAGAAGAGATTTTGAAGGGACTTGTTGAAGGTGACAGGCCATTCCTGTGGGTGAACCGTGATGGTGAAGGAGAAGAAAAGAAGGGGTGTGGTGAAGATGGGTTGATCGTGCCATGGTGTTCACAGATGGAGGTGCTGTGTCACAGGTATATATTTGTCTTTTAAATTATTTGTTTGGTATATATATATATATATATATATATATATATATATATATTTTTTTTAAATATATTTTAAAGGGCAATCCTACTAAATCTAAATAAAATTCAAAAAATTATAAGACAAATACATATCATTCCTTAATAAAATGATTTTAGTGGCCCTACCCATCCCACCCTCGTCCCTTGGATAATATGTATTTAAATTTTAATTTTTGGGTTACGTAGTATTTTTTTTATTTTTATTAATTTTTTTTAAAAAACATATTTTAATTGAGAATAAATTCTTTATACTTAGCCCACAAACCAATTATTTACTAATAATCAATCAAAATTTAACAGCTACACAAATTAATGCCTAGTGTCGAGATCCCTGCTATTGATTACTGATATAGGTAGGGCTTCAACATTCATTAAACATGATTTTATATTTTAAGATACAAACAAAAAATGTTTCATTTTCAAATAATCATTTCTCAATTTTTAGAATTTGGGACCGAAGCAAAATAGTTTATATCCGAAGCCACACCAAAAAATTAAGGGTTAATTAATTACAATTTACCCCTTTCAACCATATCCCTTGTTGCAATCAGTTCATTGTTATTTCAAATATTAGAATTTGTCTCTTTCAAGTTTCAAATGGATTAAATTGACTAATAGCGGTGGTTGAACAATTGAAAGAATTGTTACACCTTCTTTGTACATTATTATTCGTATATATTTTCTTAAAATACCAATTTTATCCCTAAAAAGAATAAGAAAACAGAAAAATCAAGATTAAAAAATAATGAAATCTTCGTCTTCGTCTCATCATAGGGAATGGAAGGTTTCTATCGGAGGGGGAAGGGAATGAGAATTAACTACTCGGGTTAAGGGAGGATGGAAGGGTGTAAGAGTAAGGGAAAAAGCATGAATATTTAGTGTGGATACTTGGTATAGTGGAAAAAGTAGGTGCAAGTGTAATTCTCTCTTTTCGACAAAGTATGAATCACTTGAATTTAACATGTTTATTTTTTTGTCAATTTTTATTGTCTAAAAATAACTATCGGAGTTCATTGTAAAATATTCAAACTAAAAGAGGTTATTTGTTGAAATTAAAACTTAAAAGGGTGAATTGCAAACTTTCTAAAATTGAAGGGGACTTTTGTGTCACTAACCCAAAAATTAATATAACAATTTTTTTTGGGGGTCAAATATAAGAAAAAAAAACTTAAGTACACATATTTTTCATCAGAAAATATAAAACAATAAATTATGGAAAAACTTACATTATCCATTTTGACCGGAGAAAGCCAAGATGTAATAGGCGTAGGAGTGGATACCGAAACACTTGGTTGTCTATTTCTTTTTTGTTTCTAATTTAACCCTAGGGGTTTGTCAAGTGGGACCCATTCAATTTAACCCAAGGTGAGTGCCAAGAGTTAACTTACATGAACATGTGTATTTGTGTCAAATAAAGAAAAAAAGGAGTCGTCAAATTTTGATTGATGGCCTATAAATAGTTGATTTATAACGCTCAGTTTGATAAATGATAAAAAAATATGAGAATGAAATAATTATTGCTAAGTAATGTTTATTATAATATTTGTTATGTAGTCATTAAAACTTCGTTCACATCACTAATTATCATTACTCGCCACCACCATCGTTACCAATCGGCCCCACCTCCACCCGGTTGGGACATGAAGTTGGGGGTCTGATTCTAGGTCTAAGTTTGGGGTTGGGTCAAGGTTTTGATTTGTACTTCTAACTTAATTATTTAGCCTAATTATTTAGCTTTTTTCGTAGTTCCAATTGATACAACTGAATTATCCACGTCACAGGTCGGTAGGTTGTTTTGTGACACATTGCGGGTGGAATTCAACATTGGAGAGTCTTGTCGCTGGCGTGCCGGTGGTGGGGTGCCCACGCATGGCGGACCAGATGACTAATGCAAAGCTGCTGGAGGAGGTGTGGGGAACAGGGCTGAGAGCAGCAGTAAATGAAGAAGGGATGGTGGAGAAAGAAGAGATTAAGAGGTGTTTGGACACGTTGATGGGAGGTGGAGAGAGAGGGAAAGAGATCAGGCAGAATGCTATAAAATGGAAAGGTTTGGCTATGGAAGCTGTCAAGGAGGGAGGATCTTCCCACAACAATCTCAAACAGTTTTTGAAAAGGTTAGGATAAGATTCTGTGTGGTTCACAGGACTACGGACTCGAGTGATGTATTTTATTTATGTTTCGTTTGGTACGATGGAAAAATAAGATGATGAAAAGTTGGAAGGAAAAAAAATTGGAGGGATAAATAAAATATAATGTTTGGTAAGGAAAAAATGTAGGAAAAATGAAAAAGTGAATGAATTAACTTTCTTTTCAACTCACCAAAATCAATCCCTCCAAAATCGAAAGGAAAATGGATGAAAAGTTAATTATTTGTGTTGAAATGTATCTTATTTGTCTATATATCTTATGTATACATTAATTTCATATAAAAATACATTGGTAAAATATGTATATATAGTTTAAAAAAATTTTAAAATTAATTTTTAAAAAAATAAAAAAATTAAAAATTTAAATTAAAATAAAATATTTTTTCCATCTTAACTAAGGGTGAAAATTTTTGACTCAACACGATGACACGACTCGAATTCGATACGATAATAAATAGGTCGACTCGTAACTCAACACAACACAATTAATTAAATGAGTTAAGTTAAGTTTGACTAATATTCGACACAAACTCGTAATGACTCAACACGAATCTGACACGACACGACTCGACTCTATTGTCACCCTTAATCTTAGTCAGCACAAAAAAAAAATAATCATTTTTATTTTCCATTCATCCAACCAAACACGAAGGAAGGAAAATGTATTTTTTATACTTTCCATCCTTGAAGCATAGAAAATGTATCATTCTTATTTTTCATTCTTCTTACTAAACGGAGCATTAATGTTGTAATATTTTGGGGTAAACTTATAAAGAAATGAGGTTAAATTATGATAAAAAAAAAGAGTTAAGAATGACTTTAAAGTTGTATGATCGAGCATAAATTTTAGGATTAATGTCAAATAACCACAATGAGTAAATTATACTTTACCTTGCGAAGCTATTATCTTTGTTTCACTAATTTGTATCATCATCTATAAAATTTCTTATATTGCACCATAAAATATTAATTTTATTTCATATCACTCCAATAGATAATGACAAACTTAAAAATTTGTCGAAAGATGGAGGAAAATTCAAAGACTTCTCCACCAAGTGTCTAGTACCACTTTATTTTACCTCTTTACAACAAAATAGTTGCTAAAAGAAAAAAGGTATTTTTGTAAAATGTCGATCAATCCTGTGAGCAAAATTTGAATCCTACATACTCCATGAGTTACACATATCCGCTTGAGAAGGGATATTAGGCTCTGATCTCTAGGGGCCAATATATTCAAAGCCAAAGATTATCCGACTCTATTTTTTGGATCGAAAGCCGGGTTTTGTGAGCCCTTAAATTATTTTACCCAATTCAACTTATCTTATCCCCCTTTATCCCTCAAACCAAACACCCTCTAAGGGTTAATTAATTACAATTTACCCTTTCCAACCAAATTACTTGTTGCAATCAATTCTATCTAGTTTCAAATACTACAATTTGTCAATTCCAAGTTTCAAGTAGATTAAATTAACTAACAACAATGGTTGAACACCCAAAAAAACTATTACACCCTCCTTGTACTTTATATTTTATATATATATTTTTTGAAATTCCAATTTTGTCCCTAAAAAATTAAATAAACCAAAACTAAAAAGTAATGAAATATTTGCCTCTGCCTCATCTTAGGAAATGAGGGTTTCTACCAGAAAAAGGGAAGGGAATGAGAATTGACCATCCGAATTAGGGGAGGATGAAAAGGTGTAAAAGTAACCGGAAAAGTACAAATATTTGGTATGCATATTTGATACAGTGGAAAAAAGTAAGTGTAAGAGTAATTATTTCTTTTCAACAAAGTATGGATCGCGTGAATTTGACATGTTTAATTTTTGTCAATTTTTATTGTCTAAAAATAACTATTTGAGTTAATTGTAAAATATTCAAACATAAAAGGACTATTTGTTGAAATTAAAACATGAAAGAAGGGGTTACAAACTTTCTAAAATTGAAGGGGACATTTTTTGTCACTAACCCAACATTAATATAACAATTTTTTGGGGAGTTAAATATAAGAAAAAAAAAAACTTAGGTACACATATTTTTCATAAGATAAATATAAAACAATGGATAATGGAAAAATTTACATTATCCATTTTGACCGGGGAAGGCGAAGAGGTAATCAGCGTTCAGCCGAATATGTAATCGGCGTTGGAGTGGATACCGAAGCACTCGGTTGTCTATTTTTTTTTTGTTCTTTTGCTTCTAATTTAACCCTAGGGGTTAGTCAAATGGGACCCATTCAGTTTAACCCAAGGTGAGTGACAAGGGTTAAGTTACTAAACATGTGTATTTGTGTCAAATTAAAAAAAATGTACTATAAATAATTGGTTTACAAACTAATCTTAAAGAATTTATTCTCATTTTAATTATATGTTGGTACTTCCGTTCCACCTCCATCCGGGTCGAGTTATGGGGTTGGAGAGTCTTGTCACCGGTGTGCCAGTGGTGGGATGCCCACGCATGGCGGACCAGATGACTAATGCAAAGCTGCTGGAGGACATGTGGGAGACCGGGCTGAGAGCAGCAGTGAATGAAGAGGATATGGTTGAGAGAGAAGAGATTAAGAGGTGTTTGGACACTTTGATGGGAGGTGGAGAGAGAGGGAAAGTGATCAGACAGAATGCTATAAAATGGAAAGGTTTGGCTATGGAAGCTGTCAAGGAGGCAGGTTCTTCCCATAAAAATCTGAAACAGTTTCTAGAAAGGTTAGGATAAGATTCTGTATGGTTTTCAAGACTATGGAATCGAATGAGGTATAAGGTATTCCACTTAAAGTTGTAATATTTTGGGATAAACTTATATTGAAATGTGGTTAAATTACGACAAAAAAGTTAAGAATTATTTTTAAATTTGTATGATCGAGCTTCTCTTAGCAAGTATTGGACAACAAGATTTTATTAAACATGAAATTATAATATATAGTATTTTTATCTCACATTTAATTTTGTATTTTATTCATTTATATAAAATTAGTCTGAATTATTTATTGCAATCCTTGTGTTCGAACAATAGCCAAAAAAAAAGAGTTTGAACCCTCAATGTCTGCTCTTTAGTAACTCTCCTGTTACCAGTATGGTTATTTGTTATTATATATCATACGATGAACCAGTACTGGTAATTTTTTTATATCATAGAGGATAAACCAACCAAATACGGTCAATTTGGTCCGGAAGTCTACAAATCTCATGTTTCACTTGAGCTTGGTGGATCAGGATAAATAGGAGAAATAATCTAACATAGGTATCAATCCTATCCTACGAGAGAGATATGATGAGAAGTTGAGATGTGTGCCTTTAGTTAGGGATAACTTGCATTTTTTTTTTTTTGGCTATTGTAAAAAGAGGTGGGGGCAAGAAAGAGCGCCCAAAGACCATATTGATAGACCCTCATTGGTGGAATCATAAAACCGCTTCCCGCATTCGTTACACCTCTCAAGAGGATAACTTGCATTAATGGCCACAATTTTACCTTAAGAACAACAATTTAAGGATTAAAATTGATATTTTGGTCTGTTAAGCAAAAGTGTTAAGGTCATGCAAGCTTTTCTCAAAAACACCCAAATTTTGTAAATAATAAATTTGAAGTCCAATATCAAACATTCAAGTAATTTTTATGTGATCATTAATTTTTAATTTATGAAAACTGTGAGCGCAAAGTTCGATTAAATAGATAATGAAATTTTAAACTTCAATTTTAGGGTTAAATTTTTTATTCACATGTTATATGAGTCAATATGAACTCGACATGAAAATAAATAGATCAATTGACACAACACGATTAATTAAATGGATTGTGCTCGAGTTAACTAGTATTTCACAAGATCCTATAAATGAACTCATATATTTGTGTATAATATATGTTTGTTTTGTTTGTTCATTTTTGTATATTTGATGGAAAGCAAGATTAAGAAAATATTAATTTTCTAAATTATAGAATTTATTTTCATCTGTTGGATGGAGATGCTCGTAAATCAATCTCAAACATAAGGGTATAAAGGTAAAAGACTGATTTCTTCCATTATCACGGACACACATTGACAGGGGTATTAGTAAAGATTTAAAAAATAAAAAGAATGTTCTTGAAAATATAGTAAATTAGAAGGAGCGTGGCCAAATAATTTTCAAAGTAATACACAATTTCAAGTTATACGAGGATTCCGTTCATTTAATACCGGATTCCTTATAATTTGTCCCTTGTCTTTTGTTACAATTAGTTCACTATAGTTTCAAATATTATAATTTATTCCTTCTAAGTTTCAATCAGATTATATTAACTGACAAAAATGGTTGAAAAATGAAAGTATCAGTAAATATTTCATCTTGTACATTATTTTTTCTTTTTTTTTTTTTGAGTTACCAATTCTATCGCCAAAAAATAAGAAAACAAAAAAGTCAAGAAAAAAAAAATATATATTCAGCCCAACACAAAGAAACTAAACAACAAAGTGTTCACCTTCGCCTCCACCTCCACCCAACATCAACACACTCACTAATGTGCATGTGCATGTGCACACATAAAGGTATCTTTTTAATAAAATAGAGATCATCTAAATTTTTCATATCTAACTTTAGTCATTTTTTAAAATTAACTGTTGGAGTTAATTGCAAAATTTTGAATTTAAAAGGGATGAATGACAAACTATTCAATGTTGAAAGGAATATTTTGTAATTAACCCTTTAATATACTATTAACCAAAATAGGGAATTTGGGACTAGGTCCGGAAGTTATATCCTATCTTAGTCCCAAATCATATGTGGGTAATTGTTTGGTTTGGGTCATAGTTATCGGAACCGAATCGGAGATTGAACTGACAGAGAAACGGTGTCAATAATTGACTAATTTAAACATCGGGTCAACTGGTGTGAGAGAGAGAGAGAGAGAGAGAGAAAGAAGGAAGGAAAGAAGAAGAGGAAGAGAAGACTTACACAGCTGAGGAAGTGATCAATGGCTAGTGTGGGTGTCAGTGTGATCGTTGTCTGTACTTCATATGAATCTGGGAGAAACAACAAAGATAGAAGATGAAGAGAAAGAGGGAAAAATTGTATCCGAGATCATTTGAATCATGACTCAAATTTTTATTTAAATTTAAATTAACAATTGAGTAAAATGTTTAATGTGATACAAAAGGCTCTAATGGACAAACTCAAATTTAAAGAAAGAGAAACTCAAATTTAAATAAGGACAAATCTAAATTTAAAGGAGAATAAAGATGATCATTAGATCTTTAAAAGAGGGTGAAATCTCACCATTAAAAATTTGAGTAAAAATTTGAATCTCCCTTAATATAAGTTTGAATTAAAGTTAGAGCAAATTTTTTATACTTTTTTACTCAAATCTAAATTTGAGTCAGAATTGGAGATATCCTATTCCTGTCAAGTTTTGGACAAATTTTCCCCCAAAAAATAAATTTTAGTTTTTTTTATCGTATTAAGTATTGAATTGACCAATTTTAGTAATCCGTCTAGTTTAGTGTTTTTGGCCGATTCTGATATTTGGATGGTCGAATCCCATCCTTGGTACCCCTATCCCTATGTACGCAGCATTCAAGGGTGAAAAATCAATGGCGATGATACTGGGGTTAAAGGTTTCCACGAAATTTTCCCCCCATTGTGCTTTTACATTCCCAATGGAAAATAGGAAAAAGACTAGAAATGGAAACGGTAGTTACCAGTAGTTCTAGTTAATACATTTTTTTTAAACTCTAGGTGGTAGACTAGCGGAAACAGAAATGAGTTGTACACTAAGACGTCATATTTTTGATCGGATTAAAAAACAAATTAATCGAAGTGTGCGTAAATTAATCCGAACATTCTTGATGACAATATCAAAAAAAATATATTTTTTTTGTACTACATGCGCATTGGATACATTTCGTCTATGCTTTATTTCTAAGAAATTTGAGTGAGTTTAATCCAATTTTTCTTTATTCACAACAAATTAAACGAGGGATGGATGGATGGTTGAATTTAATCAAAAATTAAGAATATTCCAATTTTTGTACTTAAGAATATTTGAAGAGCAAATTACAATTAAACACTTATTTCTCATCACGTCTACGCTATCCATTTTTTTCCCATTATACCTTAAGCAGTTGTTTTAAGTTATTCATAATACTTGAGGGGGTCTATCTGATTTAATTATAAACCTTAAGGGATGTGAATATAATTTATCATCATATATATATATATATATATATATATATATTGCTTCGATCGGTGACTTTTATCTAATTTTACAAAATAAATTAACACAAAAATAGAATTATGTCAATTTGAGAAGGGGAAAACTACATGTTATGACATTCCATTCTAGTTCTATTTTTTAGTACTAAAATTGGACGAAAGCCAACAACTAAGGTAATAAGAAACTCAAATCAATAATTTAAGGTAGTGAAAAAAGAAAAAATAAATAGTTTTTACTTTTTTGTAGTAAAAAATTAAATCATTTTTTTGTTTTCAATTTTTGTTTGTTATTGATGTTTCCAAAGTCAAAAATGTGAAAAAAAAATGGATTTAAATAGTCACTATTACACTTTCACTTAATAGTAGAACATCAACCTTGTGGAGATGAATGCTCCACATATAAATAGTGAGTCACACTTGAGTAAATGGTAGGTTGGGCGATGCTCCATGCATCGCTCTAGCACGGGGTAAAAGAGAAAAAGTATATGGTAGGTAATTTGTTATTGAATAAAATTATGTAACAAAATAATACGGAGAATCTCAATTCCGGAGAAACGGATACTTTAGGAAGTAATGTGAAATAAGGGTGATAATTTAAGGGACTGAAGTGTAGTTTACTTTATTTGAAATTAAGATGCTCCAAATCCCACTTGTATTTGAGCATGTCACTGTAGCATATTCCTCCATTTTGAGAAAAACGCCGTTGCTCGAAAAAGCGCACCCTTCAACTTCAAGAGCCCAACAAATACCCTCTCTCTCTCTCTCTCTCTCCCAAGATCACAAAAATGGCTGCCTACGCCTTGTCCTCCTCCAAACCCCTCCTTTCTCTCACCACCGTTCTCCTCCTCCTCCTCTCTCTCTTCCGCCGATGACTCCGCCATTATGTCCAAACTCGCCTCCTCTCTCTCCCCCAACCCACCCACCTGGGGATTGTGATCCACAAGTCACGGCACTTCTTGATGTTGCTGGGGCCATTGGGTATCCAATGCCTTTAGCTGAGTCTTGGGTGGGTAATGATGCTTGCCAAGGATGGATATTTGTCACTTGTGATTCACATGGAAAGAATGTGACCATTGTGAACTTTGGGAAGCAGCGTTTTTCAGGTACTATTTCGCCTTCATTTGCCAATTTGACCTCATTGAGGAGTTTGTATTTGAATGATAATAATCTCATGGGTTCAATTCCGGATAGCTTGACAACTTTGCCTCAGCTTCAAAATTTTGATGTGTCTAATAATAATCTTAGTGGGCCTATACCGGTTTTTCCATTGACAGTGAAGTTAAGTACAACTAGTAATCTGTTACTTGGGAAAAATACTAGTTCGGGTAGTGGTGGGAATGGTGGAACACCTGGTTCTGGATCGGATTCCAGTGCAGCCGGTGGTAGTCCATTTGGGAGTAAAAAAGGGTCTTCGGTTTCGGTGGGTATGGTTGCTGGTCTGATTATTGGTGTTGTGGTTTTTGTTGGGGTTGTATTTTTTGTGTCTTACAAGTGCTATGTCAAGAAAACACATCAGAGATCTGGGCAGGTAGACGGTTCTGAGAAAGGAAATGATATGGTGAAGACTGGCATTGATATGAATGGTCATGGCGCTGTCCTGAGTGAAATGCAGAGCCAGAGCAGTGGTGATCACAGCAAAATGCCTGTTTTTGATGGTGGGAATGTTGTGATTTCGATCCAAGTATTAAGACAGGTGACAAACAATTTTAGTGAAGATAATGTATTGGGTAGAGGAGGATTTGGAGTTGTTTACAAGGGGGAATTGCATGATGGGACTAAGATTGCAGTGAAGAGAATGGAATCTGTAGCAATGGGTACGAAAGGACTGAATGAGTTTCAAGCAGAGATTGGAGTTCTTACAAAAGTTAGGCATAGGCATTTAGTTGCTCTTCTGGGATACTGTGTAAATGACAACGAGAGGCTTTTGGTGTATGAGTATATGCCACAGGGGACTTTAAGCCAGCATTTGTTTGAACGGCAGGAACATGGGCTCCCTCTTCTTACTTGGAAGCAGAGAGCGACAATAGCATTAGATGTGGCTAGGGGGGTTGAGTATCTACACGGCTTAGCACAACAAAGTTTCATTCATAGAGATTTAAAACCCTCAAACATACTTCTTGGGGATGATATGAGAGCCAAGGTTGCAGATTTTGGTTTGGTGAAAAATGCACCTGATGGGAAATACTCTGTTGAGACACGGTTGGCAGGAACATTTGGTTATCTTGCACCCGAGTATGCTGGTCAGTGAAAAATTCTTTTATTTCATTCACAAAGATTATTCAGAGTTTGCATATATATGATATCTATTGGTAATAGTAAATTAGTAATAAGAATTATATTGCTCATTTATTTTGACATAATTACATTGACACAAGTCGTACAACCTCTTTAAAATGTAATTATGTGTACTCCTATTCTGCCCTTTATTTGAACTTAGCATTAACTTCTCTAATCAATAAAACAAGACTTGAATTAGTGAAGAAATTTTTTTTTGTATTCCGGAAATTGGAAATAATGAAATTCTTTTTGTTTTAGTGGGAACCTTGTTACTCAGAAATTGGATTTCGAAAGTTCTCATAATTGCAATTACCTATCAAATGATTCTGCTGAAGATGTTGTAGTACATTGGTAGAAATGTGTCCATGGCGATAGCATCTAGTTTTAGTTGAAAAAAGAAAAGAAGTTACATCATGTGGATAATTGATGACATGTTTTTTACGTGCATTTTGGTTCCCTATTAGTGTCAAACATGCAATCTCATTGACGATATAATTCTAAACCAATGTCTTCTAGTTTCCTATGCATCAAATCTTATTTCCTTTCTTTTTATTTTATTTTATTTATTTTATTTTATTTTTTTGGGGGAGGGGGGACAACTTAATCCTTGTCGAGCTTTTGTTGCCACATTTTGTGAAAATCTGTGACCTTGCCATTGTCATAGTGGTTGTCATGATGATTATGCTGAGAGCATCAAGTACTGAAATCTATGTGTGAGCCAACGCGTAACCAGCTGATTCTAATTTAGAACCAGCATTGTGACCTCTAGTAACTAAACTGGCTTGAAACCAGTGTCTGCATGATTTAGGATGGCATACATTGTAGTTCATTTGCCTAGGTTTTTGTTACATGTTTGATATTGTATGCTAGATCTTTATGTTGTTGGTTAACTGTCTGTTTCTAGCGGACTTTTAAACTTTTTGGTAATCTCAAATTTGATCCCAGGATCAATTTTCGTCATATTCAAAGAGCTATTTAATTTATATCTGATTAATTCTATTTTTCTTTTTTTAACAGCTACTGGAAGAGTGACTACAAAGGTGGATGTTTATGCTTTTGGAGTGGTATTGATGGAAATAATCACTGGTAGAAAAGCATTAGATGAGACTGTGCCAGATGAGAGGGCTCAATTGGTCACATGGTTCCGCAAGGTGCTTGTCAACAAGGACAACATTCGAAAGGCTATTGACCAATCCCTTGACCTCGATGAAGAAACCTTTAATAGCATTTGCAGGGTGGCTGAGCTGGCAGGTCACTGCACTGCACGCGAGCCATTTCAGAGACCAGATATGGGTCATGCAGTTAACATACTGAGTCCCCTCGTAGAGCAATGGAAACCTTCTCGCCATGAAGAAGAAGAAAGCAGCTATGGCATTGACCTCCACATGAGCCTTCCTCAAGCCCTTCAAAGATGGCAAGCTGACGAAGTTACTTCCACAATGTTCGGTGGTCAGTCTTACAGTCAAGCCCATTCAAGCATTCCTTCAAAGCCTTCTGGATTTGAAGACACGTTTGATTCAACAGATTGTAGATGACGGAAAAGCAGAATCAAGATCCTTAAAAACAAAGAAAGGGCACCCACCATATCAAGCAGGAGGTAAAAGGAAAGTTTGGTCACTGTTTGTCCTTTTATTCACTGAAGAATACATTTAAAATTTTGATTTTTCCTGTATGTATGATCTTTTGTTTGTTCTTCATATTGTATCCATTGTGACAAAACATGAAACAATAGAGCTGTTGTATATTGATTGGATTCTTTAAAGCTAACTAGTTGGTTTGGTGAAGAGGTTGAGGTGGAGAACATGTGGTGGTGTTGGTGGTGAGGGTGTTTTAATCGGAAAGACGAGAGGAAAGTGAAAACAGATGTATATATCAAGTTCTTTTACTTTAGTCATTGATGAATATATATTTCGTTTCTTTGTGTTCGGACTAGACAGTTTAACATGGTTAAAATGTTTACCATGTAAGTTGTAAGATTAGCCGTTGGACCTAAGCTATTTGGACCGTTGTACTTTATGCTCTGACTTCTTGTATAGATAATTTTATTTTTTCTTGGTGGTTGCTCTTTCTGAGGTTTGGTCTGCTTACATTTATTCCACAGGATGTGTGAACAGGTAGAACAAGGATTCTGTATGTCCCAGCAAAATTTTGATGACTAGTCTGGATAAGCAAATTTCCAGGCTGTATGGGATGGTTGGTTGCTTAAAAGAACAGTGTGGAAAGAGGGGAACCAAACTTTAAAAGACTAAAAAGATAAGAAAGACAGGAAAGCTACAAAATGATCGAGTTTGCTCTGGTGGGGATTACTATAATTTGGTTTGATAGTTTTTTATGATTGATTTATTGATGACTTCCAGGCTGTGTAAAACAGGTGGAGCAAGGATTCTATATGCCAGCATGGTTTATAGACTAGAATGGACAGATAAAATTAATCTTTGAGGATGGTTCAACGATCACGTCTCAAGTTCGATATTTTTCACACCTTTTAAGAGTCAGTCACCTTTGTTCTTCATGAATATGTCCTTAAATTAGCCCGAACTACAGTAATTAGTTTCAAAGCTTAAGCGAGTAGTCAGCACAAATTTAGATATCTGTGTAACAAAAATAAAATAAAAATGAACCTACAAAATTTGAGAAATAATGAAATTAGCTGGACCTATGGTGGCAGAGTGGGGAAACGATATGGTTGAATCCATGATGCAACAGCACAAGACTTTCGTCTTAAAGTATTTCGAAAAGGCATGACCATGTGGTGGTTGTTACTTGATGCGACAATGGGGTGTATGCATCAAAAGTTAACTAGTGCAGGGTAATTCTAGGATATCCAAAAAAAATATTTAATATCGTATCAAAAATTATTATTTTTTGAAATCGAGTTAATATTTTCTTCAAATCAAGTTATATCTTATTTTTTGAAATCAAGTCATTATTTTTTGAAGTGAAATTATATCTATTTATAGTGATTTATGCTTGATTATCAGTTCTAACGGCACCGTAAAAAGTGTAAATTGACATTTAGAATTATAACTTTATACTTAGAAGTTACAATTTTTACCGTTGTGACTTCTATCTCAAAAGATTATAACGTCATATTGAAAAGTTATAAATCTTGGTGCAATACCTCGGCAGTTCTAAAAAAAAAAAATCGGTATCGTTTCGATCATCATTTTTTAGGGTATCTATACCACCTTTTAGGTAAAATTTTATTTTGGGGGATACATTCACTTTTTAGGTTCATTGACTACATTTTGGGTTAAAATTTATCACTTAAAAAAAAAAAAAATTGGTACGATATCAAAAGTTAGAATCAGGTACCGTAATCCCTACGAATTGGGTGGGGGAATGATTCACTCACACACACACATGCACAAAGTAAAACTACATTTTAACCTCTTCAACTATGGACACAATTTACCTTTACCCCATATATATTATTGAACTTTTTATATTATCCTCTCAATTACTTAAATTTATTTTACAATATCACAGATGTCTGTTATCTTTTTACACAGAAATTATACACGTGTTGGGGAAAAGTGAAACATAGCACATACTTTTGGGAGACAAAATAGAATTTTTTTTTGTCCAATTTCTAATTGACATTAATCATTATCACAATATAAAATTAGGGTTATTTGGAAGTCCGTATATTAAATTAGACATAATTATAAAAAAATACGCATAAAAAAAATGTGTTATAAAGAAGTACACTGCTGAGATATAAAAATTAAACTATCTATTTTCTAAAATTTACTTTTCTATATACGTTTTTAGGAATATCTCTTAAAATTAATTTAAGTACACAATGATAAGGCTTAACTGCTGAATTTTAGGAACATTACTTTCTTAAAAACGATTTTAGGAATATATCTTAAAATTATTTAAGTACACGGTGATAAGATTTAACCGCTATATTTTAGGAACATTAATTCGCGAAAAACTTCATCTTTGGAAAATGGTTATCATTTCTTCTTCCTATCCAAAAACTGTTTCATCTTCCTCGACGAGAAGCCCTAAATTATTCTCTGAATATCTACAGGATTTTGTCTTTGAAAAAATAATTCTACTAGTCCGCCATTGTAGATGTAATTTTATCTATGTTTCTCACATAGTGTAACAAATTCAAAACAAAGCTGAAATGTTAAAATGAAATTATATGCAAATATATGTTTGACAAAATGTAACAATACAATGTTTTGTATACGTAAATTTTTACACCATTATTGTTACACTGCAAACGCATATACATAATGAACTTCGGTTATGGTGTTCGCATATAAAAAAATAATATAATCACCTTTAAAATGACAAACATAAACCTAATAGAGTCATGAATTCAAATCTTGTAATTATTTAGATTGAATTATAAGGATAAAATAATAATTCGGACTTGCACTGATAAATTGCTTCTAGGCTGCCAAAGAAGAAGAAGACAACAAATGATACTATTGCAAAATTTAAAATTCAAATCAACTGATTTATCCTCAAAATAAATGGAAGAATCAAATCTTTCATTAAATTAGGAGATTTTTAATGCATAAATATAATTGAAAAAAAAAAAAAGTGTCCAAAGATAATCGTATGATTTAAGGGATGACACAAATGTCAAAGGAAAATTTAAAAATTTTAAATTATGTACTTGTAAACAATTAAGATCTAAAATTAAGGATTTCCTTATTTTACAATTTTTTTTTTACAATTAAACCCAATTTAGTGTACCCCTTATAATTTACTGATAAAACTAATAACATAGTTAAAAGTGCAATGTGAGAAACTTGATATTTAAATAGATAATGTTAAACAAAATATCATAATTGAAGGGGTCAGTTGTAATTTGTCCCACAATATAGCATGAATGATATTGTGGAAAGTTAAATTGAAATTGGAAATTGGAAATTGTCAAGTAACAAAAAACCAAGAACTCTCAAATGTCTAGAGGCCACCGTCTGGCTCGTCTGCAAGACATCATAGACATTTTAAATTATTAAGATTAAATGGTGTCGTTTTTAATTTTTTAGGTCATTATAATGGACTTAACTATGGTACCGATAAAAAAAAAAATCAAATATTGTACCAACAAAATTTACCACTTTTTTTTTTTTTTTTTTTCATTTTTTAACAAAGAAATTGAATTTCATTCCAACAATATGAGCAATATTACAATCAGTAATTATAATAAAGATTAGTAATTAGAATAAAGATTAGATCAGTCGGAAGAACTGAGACCCAATCTTTAGGTAAAGAGAAATGTTATATAGACTTGATCAATTACCACTATTAATTTATGTAAATAGAGGCACTAGATGCCGAAAACAAGTCCAAATTTTTAACTAGCCCGAGCAAAGAGACGAACAACAACACTATTTACTGAAAAAAATTTATTCGAAATTTTTTTGTACCAAATCCATGGGAATGGTTAGGTTAGGAGTCTCACGACAATAACCCTTATCAACTATTTTTTTTTTTCACCAATTTCATTTAAGCAATTGACTTTGTTTGCAAAAATAACACTCATCCATGTAATTATATCTCTATTTGAAAATTAAATGTTAAGCCAGTTATCACTTTTTATTAATAAAACTATAACTTTGAAAAGGAAAGATCATGATCCATCACGTCCTTTAAAATTATAACTTACACATTAAAAAATTTATAAATTAATCTAAAAAATCATAACTTTTGGTACCCGTGCCATAGAAATTTCCATTGAAAGACTATGAATATTAGGAAATACTATGTATCCTAAATTTGTAATTCAAATTTATATCACAAATGAAGAGGACCGTTGGATGAGTGGGTCCCATCAATTTTTTTAAATAAAATCCACTGATTCAATAATCCTCCTTCATTTGGAATGCAAATTTAAGTTACAAATTTGAGTTACGTAGCATTGCTCGTGAATATTTCAGTTGAGAGATAGAATAGTGAGCTGCTTTTATGCAAGGCATGTGGAGGCAGTTGGCAATGGCTCCCCTCCTCACATGTACAAAGGTCTAACTAAGACGATTAGTTGGTTGCCAATACTAATCAATGTTTTTAAATGCATGAAACACATCTTTATTCCTGGTGCATGTCATATAATAAGTAGTTCCATGAGATATGCCATGAGCTAAGGTCTTGGAGAGAAAACAAGCTTTATTAATTAGAAGTGCCACTTATTATGGAGTGTTTCTTTTTCAACATAGTCACTCTGGGGGAAGGGGCAGGGGTAGGGGTTTGGTGGCAAAGGTGTTATGGGTGAACAATGAAAATCCTTACAAAGTCAAGTGGTCACAGGTTCGAGTCTCGGGACCAATGTCATAACGATTTTATCCTGTAATTGTTCTATTCCTGTATGGGTACAATTAGCCCTCGGTGGGGTTGGAACTAAGCTATGTTTCAATCAGATTAAGAAAGCACACCAATGAGTTTTCATTGGCGCCTCTCTTAGCCTTTTTGTCAAAGTTATAACGGATGTTAATTATTAGGGTGATGTGAAACTAATCACGTAATTAAAAGTGTAATGTGAAAATTGTGATAGTTGAGAAAGTAATGTGAAAGAAGGATTATAATTGAGGGAGTCAAAGTGTAATTTTCTATTTTCTGAAGTACAGTTAAAGTCCAATGACTTGTATGCCAATAAATTTTCCACCGACAAGCATGACCGGCTAGAGCACAATGCCACCAAAGCGGGCATTGAATTAGATAACAAGATTAGAGTATTT